GGTAAATTATTTTGGTGAATTCCATGCCCGACCCTCACTGCAGTCGCCTTTCCTTGATTTCCCTTTGTCCTGCATAAGCCACTCCTTGGTGATATCTCTTCCTGTTGTTGAACAGTTGTCCTGGCTCCAAGCATCTTCTTTTTTTATGTATTCTTTGAATCTCCAAGTCTGCTCAGGCAGTACACGAAATTATCGCTGGCTATCCCCTCTTCCAATCTCCTGTTCATCAGGCTTCTTTGAAAGAGAATATCCATAATCTCCTTGATCTTCTTTTTCTTGGTGTCTTTCCATTACATTCTAGTCAATTGTGTGACCGGTAAGGGCGATCTGTTTAGTTATATATGATCTTTCTGTATCCATTTTTCTGCATAGTCGCTGTTGTTATTTGATCCTTGTGCTGTTTGTCCTTCCCGTCTCTCCGATATATTTTTGTTCACAGTCCTTGCAGTTTATGCTGTAAACGTATTGACTTCTTTATATTGTGTGGGCAAGCTATTTAAGAGTATTGTCCTTTCCTTCAAGATTGTACGAATGTTCCATTTTCCTAAAATTGGCCGTAGCTTCCGAGCCAATTCGCAGGAGGGTAGACATATCCATCGTTTTTCCTCTGCTCCTCTTGCTTTCCTTCCATAATCGCCGTCCTTCCATCTGTTCATCACCATTTGGATGTTACGCTGTATTCATTATTCAGGATATCCCTTTTCTAAGAAACATTTAAGTTAGTTTTCCTAGTTTCTCTTCCCAGAACTCAGAATCAGTCAATGGTAAGCTTCTTAGACCATACTCCGGAGTATTTCAATCTTCATCCCATAAGTATCGTTCGACTGGAAGTTAAGAGTTCTTTCAGCATGCGATTTCTTTTGGAAAAGTTTTTTCTTAAGAATTTCCTCGGAGCGAATGACCTCCACATAAAAGAACGGTAAGTGTCCGTTCTCTTCGGTATCAATGGTGAATTTGACTTTTTCATCTATTTCGTTTATGAAGATCAGAAAATCGTCTAATTTTTCTCCTCCATGCGACCAAATTGCGAAGTTGCCATCCAAATATCGCATTATTACTGTTGGCTGCTGGGGCGACATTTTGAAATTTTCCTCCAACTTGTCCATGAACACATTAGCCAACAGAGGTGAGTGGTGAGCCCATAGGTAGACCAAATATTTGCTCATAGATGCGGCCGTTGAAAGTGAAACAGGACATTCTTATTGTTAAATTGATTAGTATTATTTAATTCAATAGAGACAGATATAAGTTCATCAAAGGAAACAGACAGATATCCACTAATGTTTTGATATGGCTACAGTCGTGTGATTACTCATGTCAGGTCTTATGACAAATAGATAGAAAATGCTCGTCATGGATAACATAGACGTAGAGATAGATGAAAATGCACAGGATCAGTAACAGTGAGAAAGTGGGTAAAGCACTTTTAAGGCAATTTTTATATACAATTGCCTATAATAGAGAAATAGGATAGAAACATTGCTTAAGATATAAATGGATAGCTGAACAACGATATGCTGATCGAATTGGACAGGAAAGAAATGAGCTAGGAAAGTCCAGAGTTTAACTCAAGGAGCCAAAACGAACCAAAAGACGCTAGGAGAGACTAAATAGCCAGCAAAAATAAGGAGCCAATTATGAGCTGTACTTGTGCAGTTAGCGCAAATCAGATTAAAGATTTGTGAGGATATTTGGTCAGTTAAGCTAACCTATAATCACTGCGAATGGATTCAGTGGGTTAGCACAATGCCCACTGTTGTCAGGTAGGGGGAGGGGTGCAAAGAATTCGAATCAGATTTAAATTATTTTGAGCAGGGTTAAAAAACCTACCAGGCAGGGAAAAAAAGAGCCCACAAAAAGTTAAAAGGATAGACTTCAAACTAGTGAAAGATGAAAAAAATAGGAATGGATGTTAACTGTTTTGTTGATTTATATACAATAGCCAATTTTTCGCATATTGCTATAGCCTCCATATGCAGTTAAGCGTTTGGCATTAGACCAGCCTATCTGGTATCCTGTGCGAGCAATGTGTTGGGCCAATTCCGATTTTAGGACCTACAAACCCCTGCTAGTTGTTTTCTGTTCATATAAGCTGTCATGTAGTATATATTGTAGAAAATAAGGAATTACCAAGAAAAGTGTTATTTTTGTCTTGATGAGACATTGTGACATCTTATGTGCGAAGTAGCCAATAAAAGGCTTCTGACGAGAAATGGATGCAAGATGGCTGCTTTTAAATGTTACAATTTTTCAGTTTTACAGTAATTGGTGTGCCTTTAAACACTCATCATTTTCTATGTATGTACCTGAATTGAGACGAGTAACATCAAAGATACCTGTATACGTTAAATGGGAATAATATAGACAGCCCAAAGCGTAAATACATAAAATACTTTTGGAAGAATAGCAAATGCCCTCTCACCAGTCTCTGCAATATGTCCGGCTCCTCCGTCAGGAAGGTCATCTCTGTCGCCCGAGGTGAGGACAGTGTAGCCAATGTTCCAAGAGGCAATCATTTCAGCTGCTCGCCTAGGCTCCTCTGAATCGGGAGTCGGGGAATTCGGGCTCGTCTTAATGGAACAGAAGCGACAGGCACGTGTACAGGGATCGCCCAGCACCTAAGAAGAGATCATTATAATGCAGGATAAATAGCGAGGGGTTTTGTAAAGATAATGCTTGTGAAAATTACGGAATGGTTTGCCAAAAGGAGAGACCAATATTATAGCATTGATGATTGAGGATTAAAATATGAGAATTATAGAAAGACAACAGTAAATTTATCTATGCTAAAGATTGATATATGTAGATATGGCAACAGCAAAAGAAGCGCAAAGTTGATACAATCTA